AAAACCGGGATTGTTTTTACACACCACTGTATATATAATATATATGTATAGTGTGTGTAATACTTTTCAAATATAGCTAATATATAAATTTATATTAAATATTTGACATATCTGTGCTACATAATGATAAGAAAAGGTTTATTGTTCTCTCTATGCAGACAGAAGATCGAGAGATGCTCACTCACCGGTGCTAACCGTGAGGTCATCGTAAGCACCGCCATCTACCCGTTTGCAATGACAGTGTATGGTCAGCATATCTATTGGACGGACTGGAACACACGCAGCATCTACCGTGCAAACAAGCATTACGGCTCCGACCAGAAGGTGATGCTACAGAACCTTCCATCACGGCCCATGGACATCCACGTGCTCTCCAACAGCAAACAGCAGCAGTGCAGCAGTCCCTGCGAACAATTCAATGGTGGATGCAGCCATATTTGCACTCCAGGTTGGTTTATATTTCCAAACAATAAGCTTTTGCAATACTACTTATGGCTTTTACAGCCAGTATCCTCCAAAACCAAAGCACTGTTCCCAAACCAATTGACCTGCATTGCTGTATACTGAAAGGAACCCTCATTAGTAACTAATTTGGAACACTCTGTAGAGAGCAACTCAATGCATCATGCAAATACAGTAGCACTCCATTAAAGGGTTCATGTGATGCAATTTCAAGTTTTCCTTTGTCTTTGGAGTGTTACAAGCTGTTCGTACATATATAAGATCAGTAAAGTTGCAAAGACTAAAGTCTCAAACCCAAAGAGATATTCTTTATAAAAGTTATGACTCGTCCACGCCCTCCTAAAACAACTAGTTTAAACACGCCCCCACATGTCTACGTCACTGTGTTGGAAGATTTGCATAACACCACCCAAATGTTTACGCAAAGAAAGAAGGCGTAACTTTTATTCTCGCTGTAGTATTGTTGCCGCCGCTGCATGTCATGGAGACACTGTGTGTTTCCAAATATGGTAAGGGGCGTAACATTTGCGTCACACACTTGAGGTATTCGGCCAATCACAACGCACTGGATAGCTGGCCAATCAGAGCGCACCTCGCTTTTCAAAACAGTGAGCTTTGTAAAAATTGACGCGTTTCAGAAAGAGGAGAAACAATAATGTACACTATGTGGAAAATAATGTGTTTTTTAACCTTAAACTGCGTAAACGTATTGCATTACACCAAATTTACAAAATAATGTTATTTTTAGCATCATCATATGAACTTTTTTTATAAGCATAAATGAAATAAATTATGAAATTAAGAACTTTGTTTTAAAATACAACACTATTTCCTTCAGGTCCTCAGGGAGCAGAGTGTCAGTGTCCCTCTGAGGGCCGCTGGTATCTGGCCGAAAACAAACACTGTATCCCTGACAATGGCACACGCTGTCAGTTGGGCCAGTTCACTTGCATGAATGGCCGCTGCATCCGTGCCCAGTGGAAATGCGACAACGATGATGACTGTGGGGACGGCAGTGATGAACTCGAGCGGGTCTGCGGTGAGATGCATTGTTGTTTACTGTACATGTTCTTCAGAGGACTTGAAATCCTAAATCAGAATAGAAGGCAGTTTTATGTAAACACAGGTTGTTGATTCAGAATATATGCCATAGAGTCCAAACTGACATCTTATGCACTTTCAAGGGTGAACTAAACTTAACATTTATATTTGTGCATGACTAAACTGCAAGCCTAATGTTAACAAACAAATCTCTTGCGAGTGTCTCTGTTTGCCGATTGATGAATTTTCCTCTCCTGCACTGCGGCGCAATCTTTCACTAACATGTTTCTTCTTGCTTTTTATTGCTTGCACAATCTGTTCAAATCTTTTGCTCCAGGATCCAAGAGTCATTTCGTTTTTGGTGTGTATTCTTGCTTACCTCTCTTCATGTGTAGCTAAAAGCTCTGTTCCAAAATCTAGAGTGCTGCCTACATAGGCAACATGATTATACTGTCTTTGGGCCAAATCCTAAAGCAGTACTGCATTCATCCTTTTGCAGAAGATAATGGCATAATGCATTATTTGACAAGCTACCCAGTTAACAAAAAAATATGTTCTAAGAACGCTTGAAAGTTTTTGTTTTGTTTTGTTTTGCTTTGCTTTGTTTTTTTTGTGTTTTTTGCTTTGCTTTTAGTTTTTTTGTTTTGCTTTGCTTGTTTTGTTTTTTTTTGGGTTTTTTTTGCTTTGCTTTGTTTTGTTTTTTAGTATCCGAATGTTAAGGGAACATTCTATTTTCTAATTTTGAACGTTCTTTAATCATTCTGAACAGCGAACGTCCAAATGAAATGTTTCAAAAAAGTTCCATGAATGATGTATAAATATTTTTTTTGTGCTAGCATTTTTAGAACATTGTTAAAGACCAGATAACTTTGAACAAACATTCTAATAATGTTACTGGAAGAATGTTTATTTTAGGGCTGCAAAATGATTAATCATGATTAATCACATTCAAAATAAAAGTTTGTTTACATACTGTATATGTGTGTACTGTATATATTTATTATGTATATATAAATACACACACATGCATGTATATATTAAGGAAAAATATGTTAGATTTATATATAAAATATTTATATTTATATATAATATCAATTATATACAAGTATAAATATATATACATACAAATATTTTTTTTTAAATATATACATATATGTGTGTATTTATATACATAATAAATATACACAGTACACACACATATAGTATGTTAACATCAACTTATTTTTAATGGGATTAATCACAATTAATCGTTTTGCCGGCCTAGTTTATTTAGAACTTTGAGAGAACTTTTCCAGAAAGTTCTGAGAATGTCCCCTGTTAGCTGGGTACATGCACAAATCCATCAAAGCAGTTAATTTTGATTATAAGTATAATTATAATCCATTCAATACCAAATAACATTGATAAAAAGTCTAATTTAAGGACTACACTATTGAATTGTTAGCTTTGCATGCTAATGGAAAATTCTATTGAAATCAGTTGTGTCAGTAGACACCAAGGCAGCTTACTAGGATTTAGAACAGAGCATTAGACTACATAAAATTGAATAACCATCCATAAACACATACTAACCTCTTCCTCAATGCACCGCTCTCTCTCTCTCTCTCTCTCTCTCTCTCTCTCAGCAGCATTCATTTCACTCTCAGGTAAACTGAAATAGATAGGTAGAGGAGGTAGGCAGTGAGCTCCAGTAGTTCCTGTTAGTTCATTCAGCTCTTATTGCAAATGTCAAAATTAATCTTTTTTTTGTGCATGGCAGCATTTCACACCTGCGAGCCCACTGTGTTCACATGTGGAAATGGCCGTTGTGTGCCATACCACTACCGCTGCGATCACTATAATGACTGCGGGGATAACAGTGACGAGACGGGCTGCATATTCCGTCCCTGCGACCCCAACACTGAGTTCACCTGCAATAACGGTCGCTGCATTGCACGGGAATACGTCTGCAACGGAATAAACAATTGCTACGACAATGGGACCTCAGATGAGCAGAACTGCGGTAAGTGCATTTGCACGGTTACCAAAACAAGTTGCTAGGTTGTTTGTCAACTACTGTATAAACAGCCTACAGCTTATGAGCATTTATATAATACAGAATAGTTGATTTTAAGCGATTCATAATGGATCCTTGTTATAAAACGCAGCTGAGAGGACATGTCAGCCAGAGCACACCAAATGCCAGACCACCAACATCTGCATCCCGCGCTCGTACCTGTGTGATGGAGATAATGATTGTGGTGACAACAGTGACGAGAGCCCAACGCATTGTGGTGAGTTATCCTGTCCCACTGTCTCCCTCTGTCCTGTGGGAACATAGTTAGGTTTATAAATGCCCTGATATTTGTTATGCTTAATGTCTTTTAGTTTGCCATGCATATCTAATGTCATGTAAAATTGAAAACGTTATTATTATTGTATTAAATGCAATAATAATAAAAAATTATTATTATTATTATTAATGATATAATTATGAAAAAGTAAGTTCTATTTTAGTTATTAGCGTTAACTAAAACAAAAAACTAAACCTACTAAAAAACATTTATGTTAATTGAAAATAAAATACTTTTAATAAAAAATTAAATAAAGTTTATTTTACTTTCATCACCAAGGTCAAAACACAAACGTTTCGGCTCAAGGCCTTCTTTAGTGTGCTTAAAATAAAATGAACTAAATAAAAATTTGAAATGTTATATTGGCAACTAACTGAAATAGGTTGAAGTACTAAAATTACTAGCTGGAAACTAATAAAAATTAAACCTAGATCTACTGTAAATCTGGAATTAAAATAAATTAAACACAAAAAGTATCATTTAAAAAAAGTGACAAAAGCACATAACTAAATTACTTAAATTATTGATGAATATTTAATGAAATTATTGGTCAATAATTTAGATTATTTGATCAATAATTTAGAATAATTATTGATCAATATATTATTAAAACAACTGTAAAGGTTTTTAAATAATATTAAATCATACTGACATAAAAGGCAGAAGAAAAACATAAAATAAATGTAAGAATGACAAAATGTGTAATAATAATATTTTCATTGTTTGTTTCTCCTTTAGTGTGGAATTAGATGAGTAACTGTTTAATAATTTCCTGTTGCTTTTTGAGCCAAAGTTGTTGCTCAACTTGCCCTTCCTGTAATATCAGTGAAATTAGTGACCCATGTATGTGAGCGGGTCCACCTGGGGATGCTGAGTTCATTTCTGGTTTATCTCTGGTTTGTCTTGTTGTTTTCTCCTCAGCCACATCTACTTGTTCCCAGAACGAGTTTCGCTGCTCGAGCGGACGCTGTATTCCCGGACACTGGTACTGTGATGGCGGTACAGACTGCAACGATGGTTCCGATGAGCCCGTTACCTGTAGTAAGTACCACACATAACATATTAAAAATAAATATATCCCACTATAAGTTATCTGGCGCTCATTCTGTATATGTGGCAGAAAGTTATTTTGGACTATACTGGGGAGAAAACTATGAAAACACTGTAATATGAGGATGAAGCTGTGTTTATCAAGGTAAACCATTGCCCATGTTTTTGGTGGTGAGTTAATGATGGGTATCCTGCCTCACTGGTTACCATGGTGATGGACTGAATGTCTGTCACAGGGTTCCCCCCTCATTTTACGCTCCACTGGTGATGCATGCAGTCAAAAAGTGGAAAGATGAGGCAGACGTTGTGTATAAGTAACTCAGTTGGCAGAAAAAGACTTATAATGTAGTAATTCAGACCAGTATGTCTGCAATCAAATGCTTTAACTAGGGATGCACAATGTTATCGGACCAATATCGGAATCGGCCGATAATGGCTTTAAATGTAAATATCGGCATCGGCCCGATATGAAAAAGTATGCCGATATGTCTTGCCGATAAGAGGAATACATTAACTCACATGTTCTCAGGGTGTGCTAGAGATTAGATCACCTCAGAATTATGGCTCATTCTTGATGCAAAGTTTTGCCTGAATGGTGATTGGATTCACTGTTTTGATCGCTGCATTTAAACTGAGAATGCACGTACAGAATGAAGTGTTTGGTGTATGATAGAGTAAACAGTAATAGCACGTGCAGCGGCAGCAGTGACAGCCTCCCCAGGGTCCTAATGCCCGCTCAGTAAAGAGTTTTAATTCCGTAGGGGGCGCTGTTGGCCTACTTCTAACAAAATGAAAGTAAAATACACAAATAATATTTAGACAGTGTTTCTGATTAAATAAAGCAGTAATTGATGCCATAAAATCTTGAGTATGTTTTGATTTAAAGGTCAGAAGCTATAGCTTACATGAACAAAAAAAAACAAAAAAAATCACAAACGACACTTAAACTAAATAATTGTATATATTCTGATTTATTCATTAATGTGTAATATCTTAGATTTTTAAACAAATTATGAGCTCTAAAAGATTTTCAGAATTTTTACAACTCTTTTGCTTTAGGCCATTTACAAATGTTAAATCATAAAATAAAATGTTAAGGTTACCACTGCATCTTTCTGGGGGAAAAAATGCAGTGATTAATATATACCGGTAGTTTATTTATAGTTATTTTCAAATCTTCAATGTACTGTCATTATAAAATAACTTTATTACTGTTTATTTCATTCTAACAAATAAGTTCTTGTTAAAAACGAACCAAAATGAGAAATAATTATATATCGGCATCGGCTATCGCCCAAAATGAGTTGAAAATTATCGGCATATCGGATATCGGCAAAAATCCAATATCGTGCATCCCTAGTATGTATAACAGTTACTCTTTCTACAGGTTACATCTTTACGCAAATAGGTGCCATGCTTATGAGTGATTTTATTTAATAATTTATTAAATGATTTGTTTAAAAACATTGATTCATTTTGATATTAAACTAGTTATTTGTATTTTTGAGTGAGTCATTGAATCATTCATTCAGCCGATTGATTAAAAACACTGATTCATTCAGAAACTAAACTAGTTATTTGTATTTTTGAGTGAGTCATTGAACCATTCATTCAGCTCATTCATTCAAAAACACCAAATCGTGAATAGTTAACCAGAATATTTAAGTAATAATTGTATAAATGTAGTTTAAAATGCAATTTATTTTCAGCAGTCAATACTCTAGTCTTCAGTGTCGAAAAATTATGCCGATATGTCTTGCCGATAAGAGGAATACATTAACTCACATGTTCTCAGGGTGTGCTAGAGATTAGATCACCTCAGAATTATGGCTCATTCTTGATGCAAAGTTTTGCCTGAATGGTGATTGGATTCACTGTTTTGATCGCTGCATTTAAACTGAGAATGCACGTACAGAATGAAGTGTTTGGTGTATGATAGAGTAAACAGTAATAGCACGTGCAGCGGCAGCAGTGACAGCCTCCCCAGGGTCCTAATGCCCGCTCAGTAAAGAGTTTTAATTCCGTAGGGGGCGCTGTTGGCCTACTTCTAATTAAATTAAAAGTAAAATAGCCTACACAAATAACATTTAGACTGTTTCTGATTAAATAAAGCAGTAATTGATGCCATAAAATCTTGAGTATGTTTTGATTTAAAGGTCAGAAGCTATAGCTTACATGAACAAAAAAATAAAATCACAAACACTTAAACTAAATAATTTCATATATACTGATTTATTCATTAATGTGTAATATGTTGTTTTTTAAACAAATTATGAGCTCTAAAAGATTTTCAGAATTTTTACAACTCTTTTGCTTTAGGCCATTTACAAATGTTAAATCATAAAATAAAATGTTAAGGTTACCACTGCATCTTTCTGGGGGAAAAAATGCAGTGATTAATATATACCGGTAGTTTATTTATAGTTATTTTCAAATCTTCAATGTACTGTCATTATAAAATAACTTTATTACTGTTTATTTCATTCTAACAAATAAGTTCTTGTTAAAAACGAACCAAAATGAGAAATAATTATATATCGGCATCGGCTATCGCCCAAAATGAGTTGAAAATTATCGGCATATCGGATATCGGCAAAAATCCAATATCGTGCATCCCTAGCTTTAACAAAAGAACAAAAGTTTGTGAGTTTGAGAGCTTCTTTTTCAAGAAAGACATTTAGTGGTTCTATTTGTGAATAGTGTGTATGTGTATATGTATGTAAATCACCAAACAAATGAGTTTGATTTATGATGTTTAGATCCTTAGATCAATAAGGTACAATAAGGTTTTGATTTATGTTTCTTTGCATTCATTAATTTAATATATACTTAAATCAGAAAGAACAATTGATGTTCCCCAAAAGTTTTCTTATTATATTAGATATCATACACTATTGTTCAGAAGTTTGGGGTCAGTTAAAGTTTTAAATAATTTTTTTTTTTTAAAGTCTATTTTCCTCATCAAGGCTGCATAAATTTGATCAAAAATTCAATAAAAACTGTATTATTGTGAAATATTATTACAATTTAAAATAACTGTTTTCTATTTGAATATATTGTCAAATGTAATTTATTCCTGTGATGCAAAGCTGAATTTTCAGAATCATTACTCCGGTCTTCAGTGTCACATGGTCCTTCAGAAATCATTCTAATATGCTGATTTGCAGCTCAAGAAATATTTTATTATTATCAATGTTGAAAACATTTGTGCTGCTTCATATTTTTGTAGAAACAGTGATACATTGTTTTTTTCAGGATTCTTTGATAAATAGAAAGTTCAAAAGAACAGCAATGTGTTCTGTCTCTTTTAACCAATTTAATGCATCCTTTTTTAATTAAAGTATAAATTTCTTTTAAAAAAATCTTCTAATGGTAGTGTGTTAGATACAGTAGATTGTAGTGAAAATAGGGTTGAATTTTAAATAAATTCACTACTTTACTGTGGATATTGTCATTTTTGGTATGTCCATTTATTTAGAAATACTAAGAATTTTAATAAAAAAAATTTTTTCAAACCGAATTGAAATTTTCAAAAATGTTTCAAGCAGTTTTTCTTGTAAATATATTTTAATAAGTAATGTATAGTTTTTTTTTATACTAAACAAGTCTGATATACCCATATGCTGTAGAAATGAATTATTGAAAAAAAGTATTATAAACTACAACACAAGCAAGTCATAACAGACCAGTAAAATAACATAACAATACAAGTTAAAAATGCAATACAATAATATGAGAAAGGTTTGCTCTTCTTAATGACAGTCGAGTGGTATCTGAAGTGTGTGTTACTGTCTGGTGTGTTTGGGTGTGTGTCTGTGATGCCAGCAGTCAGTCCGGCCATCTATTCTGTGTCACATTCCTCCAAAGTGACGTGCAGCAGAAAAGCCCTCATACACACACACACACACACACACCGGCCCTTCCTTTGACAGTCTCTGCCCCCTCCCCTCTCACACACACTGCCCTATCCTCTCGCTTTTGTCCCGTTAATCACAGCACCCCTCGGTGCCTTTTGTTCAAGCGGGGCACTAGAGAGAGGAATGCTTATTCTCTCCCAGAATTCCTCTGCCTGTGGAATCCAAGCAGCAGCTCAGCCACGTTTCTGGCTGCTCAGGATGGGATTTAATGGTTAAATGGATTACGTAGGCCGCATGTTCCTCAGTTTCCTCTGAGATCCGAGTGAGACATGGCCCTCGGGCAGGTGGATCTTCTCACTGCCGTGTGTTTCATCCCTGCAGCCACCACGGTGAGGACCTGCAACTCCGACCAGTTCCGCTGCGATGATGGAAGGTGCATCGCCTCGTCCTGGATCTGCGATGGAGACAACGACTGCGGGGACATGAGCGACGAGGATGAGAGACACAACTGTGGTCAGTATTGCTTGGTCCAAACCCAAATCACAGGTCTCATTTCACAATGTACTTTTGGAACATGTTACTGAAATATTTGTCCCTTTGGATTTACCACCAAAAGTTTACGCACAGAACAGCTGCAAAAGTGCATATACTATAGGGAGTGATAGATTTAGCTTTTTATGACCGATACAGATTTACTTAATTGTAGTTTCCAAAAACCAATATGCAGAAAACAATGGCAATGTATTATTTATATTTTTGGTTTAATATTTTTATATCATGTTTATTTATAAATCCCTCACCACATTTCCAAATGCACCCATTTTTCAATTTCTGATTTTTTCATACTGATAACTTCATAGCCGTTGGACTACAACAGCAAAAAAAAAGAAAGAAAGAAAAAAACATAATATGTAATGTAAATTATTATTATTATTATTGTTGTTGTTATTGTTATTATATTTACATGTATTGTTTTTATTGTAATTCATTTTTATTTTCATTGTTTTTATGTATGAACCCCAGACCACCTTTTCAGACACACAAACAAACTGTTGTATGCTTTTCAGTATGTTATTGTGTGCATTGACATTTATTTTTTCATTCGTTCGTTCATTCATTCATTCATTCATTCATTCATTCAGATATTGTATTACTATTTAGGTTCTATTTTTATTGTTATTTCAGTTTTAGTTTTATGTCTTGCTTTGCCATTTATTTACTTATTTATTTATTTATTTATTTATTTATTTATTCATTCATTCATTTATTCAGATATTACTGTTTAGGTTTAATTTTTATTTCAGTTTTATTTTTATTTCTGCTTTAGTTTTTATTTATTTGCAGTTAGTAATTTTAGTGCTTGAACTTAAATTGATTTGTTATTTGTGAATGCAATATTTCTAATTTCCATTTCGTTTTTCATCCAGTATTTTATTTTATTTCAAATTGATTTCTGTTAACAAAAATATTTTAATAGTTGTAGTTTTACAGTAATAACTCTATTCTGACATCTACTGGACTTTGGTCATAACCAAATGTTCTTGTGTGAAAGTGCTTACGCAACTTTGTTGTTTCATCCTCGACTTTTTGGCTATATTTAGTCTTCTTGTATCATCTCTCTTCTGTAGTCTTTTCTCTCTGCACCTCTTCTCCTCCTCTCCCTCAGTTCATCAGTGAGGTAGTGTTGGTGGTTGGGTGTGGGATCTCAGTGTAAGGAGTCTACATTCCTAATTTCTCCTGCCTCATTCACTGCTTTGTGGATGTGTTTGGACTTTGGTCATAACCAAATGTTCTGGTGTGAAAGTGCTTACGCAACTTTGTTGTTTCATCCTCGACTTTTTGGCTATATTTAGTCCTATATTTATCTCTCTTCTGTAGTCTTTTCTCTCTGCACCTCTTCTCCTCCTCTCCCTCAGTTCATCAGTGAGGTAGTGTTGGTGGTTGGGTGTGGGATCTCAGTGTAAGGAGTCTACATTCCTAATTTCTCCTGCCTCATTCACTGCTTTGTGGATGTGTTTAGCTGACAGCTCTCAGACTGTCTCTGTTCTCTCCAGAGGTTGCTCTTCCATAGCTGATCAGTAACTTAATGGAGTACTCAATTGAGCTGTCAAGTTTGTCTAAAAAATGTCCATGGGAGAAGTAAAAACAGACACAAATGAGATAACTGTTGACATACACTTGGAGTATAGAGCTGTAAGCAGAATGTGGATAGCATAGTTTAGATAATGTGAAAGAATTTAATGAAAAGTTTGAGTTCGTATTGAGATTTGGGTTTTGTTTTCACTAAACCTTGATGTTAACATGTTGTTTGACAACATGTTGCATAAAAATGCATAGTCTACACAAATAATTGGTAAAATAGTCCATTTTTATTCAGTCCGTGCTCATTTTTACTTTCTTTTTTTTTTTCTTTTTTTTTTTTTTATATATTAATATATTTATATTATACCTTTTTTTTATAAAAATTAAAATTAAAACTCTAAAACATCAAGAGTGCAAAATCAGCACATCCACTCACACACACGCATACACACACACACACACACACACACACCTATGAGCTGGTGTGACTGTAACATAGCAAATATGTAAAATAAAAGCAATAATTCAACTACAATGCAGTAAAAAAGTGGACAGCAAGGAAGGGGTTACACTCTAAAACATCAAGAGTGCAAAACAGACACATCCACTCACACACACACACACACACATACATATACACACACACATACAGAATTATACACACTCAAATGAATTGGTATAGCTATAACCATATAGCCAAAATGAGTCAGAAGACTGAAATAAGAGGTTGAAATTAAATCAGTCCCAGAAGAATTAAAGGGTTAGTTCACCCAAAAATGAAAATTGGCTTGTGTTTTACTCACCCTCGAAGCATCCTAGGTGTATATGACTTTCTTCTTTCAGACGAATCCAGACGGAGTTATATTAAAAATTGTCCTGGCTATTCCAAGCTCTATCATTGCAGTCAGTGGGTGTTGCAGTTGAACAGTCCTCAAGTCGTCAAATAGAGTGCAAAACAGACACATCCACTCACACACACACACACACACATATATACACACACACATACAGAATTATACACACTCAAATTAATTGGTATAGCTATAACCATATAGCCAAAACGAGTCAGAAAACTGAAATAAGAGGTTGAAATTAAATCAGTCCCAGAAGAATTAAAGGGTTAGTTCACCCAAAAATGAAAATTGGCTTGTGTTTTACTCACCCTCGAAGCATCCTAGGTGTATATGACTTTCTTCTTTCAGACGAATCCAGTCGGAGTTATATTAAAAATTGTCCTGGCTATTCCAAGCTCTATCATTGCAGTCAGTGGGTGTTGCAGTTGAACAGTCCTCAAGTCGTCAAATAAAGCAAGCGCATCCATAATAAAACGTGCCTCACACGGCTGCAGGGTGTGAATAAAGGCCTTCTGTAGTGAATCCATGCGTTTTTATAAAATATCCATATTTCAAACGTAATAAACACTTTTCTCTCACTTCCGGTATCTGTCATACGCGGAATGACGTAGGACGTATGCGTCGCGTGCACCTCTGAGATATGCTAGTCTCGCGAGTTTGTTTATAGGAGCAAAGGAAGCAAAGTTTCCTTACTTTAGCAAAGGAAAACCAGTCTCCTCTTGGTTTAGATCGAAATCCTCCGACATTTTTCTTTGCAAATCTTCGGTTTGTACTTCTAATTTGTGACCGGCGTTTTGTTTTGTTGTCTCTCCTCGTTCGTCACTAATCATGCAACACCGACGTCCTGCGTCATCCACCGGAATGGCTTCCGTGTATGACAGTCAGCGGAAGTGATATAAAAGTGTTTATTACGTTTGAAATATGGATATTTTTCTTACAAAAACGCATGGATTCGCTACAGGAGGCCTTTATTTATGCCCCGGAACCGTGTGAGGCACATTTTATTATTGATGCGCATGCTTTATTTAGAGTGTTTTGGACTGTTAAACAGAAACACGCGCCCACTACAATGATTGAGCTTAGAAGAGCCAGGACCATTTTTAATATAACTCCGACTGGATTCGTCTGAAAGAAGAAAGTCATATACACCTAGGATGCTTCGAGGGTGAGTAAAA